TACTTAAAATTATTCCTTTTTCTAGAAAAAAAAACATTTTAATACATGTTTATATTCCACAGTGGATAATCAGTGAAAATTTAAATCTATAAAAATTAACTTGTGTGAATACAATTGTTAATCACAATGATTTAAATAAAATGTGTTTTATTTAAAAAAATGGGATAGAGACCTAAAGAAAAATTGTTCCATAAATGCATAAAACATTATCACATGCCATCAGCCTAGGTACATGTTTTGCATTTTTCTTGTTGAAAATATGTGCATGGCTAATATGTTGCCACTAAATTAAATTATATTATTTAGAGTCATTTTTTTCTTACATGAATAAGTATTTGTAACCAGCTGCTTGCAATTATTGTTAGTAATAGATCCTAGAGTATATAACCTATGATATTATTGAGTGTGTAAATAATTTTTTTAAAGATGCAAGAGAAAAGTATATGTAGAGATTATGCATTAGTATTATAGGGCTTGATATACACTGAGATAATACCTAGTCTAATTCCTGCATTTGATAAAGGTGAAACTGTGGTCCAGAGATTTTGAAGGCTTTAGAGGTCAGGTAGCAGCCAACTTGAGGTAAATACTGAGTTAGAATGAGGTCTGTGTGTTCTTGGACCAACTGTAGCTCTCAAGGAGCCTGCTGTTAACATTGCGATAAGATTTGAGATATGAAAGGGGTATTTCAACTATTTTAGTAAACTCATTATTTCTTCTTTTTATAAATGTTTTATAATGGGTGATTTTATGTGTTTCATAAACTATCTTCCTAGTTTCTACCTGACCAATCAGACCACTGCTTTAAGTTTTTTACTCAGAAGATTTTGTATGTGCAAAACCTCTCTCTCTTTTTTTTTTAATCTCCAGAAAAAGGAGATGACTGGATATCAAGGAAATATTTTGATTGATTTGAGGGTGGAATTTAGATGTAGGAAGTATGACATGGTGGTTAAGATAACAAGCTCTGGAGCTCAATCCCAGCTCTACTACTGGCTGCTGTGTGTCCAGGTCAATTTCTAATCTTCTCTGTGGCCCTCAGTTTACTCATCTATAGAATAGGCATAAAATAATGCATACCTTATAATGTTGTTGTCAGATGAAGAGTTAATCCTCATAGAGTACTTAGAACAGACTGTCACTCATTAAATGTCATATAATTATTAAAATGGTTTGCCAGTGGTTCAAGGTATAGAAAATACGTATAGGGAAACCACAACTGCCTTCAAATACCCAAAGGGCTCTCACGTCAAAGCAGCATAGTGCACGCTCTTTGGAGCTCTTGGAATGATAAATACAAATTAGAACAGACAGACATTGTTCCAGAGTTGCTCATGGAAGAAATAAGGCTTCTTTGGGAGTTATGGATATCTTATCACTTGATGGTATTCAAGCAGAGCTGGATATGAACATTTTATGAGCATTATAAGTATTCCACATTTATAGAGAATTTTTAAAATTAATAACTATACTATTGGGAGGGACATCCGCCATGGGTGTTGAGCACCCTCTACTTACTTTCTTGCTCAGTTTGTCAGACTGCAAAGCATGCAGATGACTAAATAACTCAAGGAGGCCACAGCATTTACTCCCAAAGAAGGGGCACTGGCTTGTCTGCTGCTTGTTAGAATGTCTGATGCTTGCTTAAGTGGTACCCAACTCTTGTCAGATTCCTCTACTATAACACACACACACACTGCATGTGTAGGCATCCGTTTAAGGTCCACCTTGTTGCCTCCTCCTACCCGCCATGGGACAGGGTTCGGGAGAACTGGTGTAAGAATGAAGCCTTGGATGCTGTGTTTCCGCAAGTAATGAAGTTCTCTGATCCAGGAATGTCTTGTCTTCTGTACCCATTCATGATACAGTCAGAAGCTAATCTGTTAGAGCTTGTAAGTAGAGCAAAACCACAGAAACTTCACCGTCCTGGACAATTAACAGCTAATTTTATTGCCTGCTTATTACCATAGTCCTTGTGCAAAACCCTTTAGTGCATTATGTTAGTAACCCCTCAGAAAGGCCTTTTTTACAGAGCGATTTTACAAAATGCTTGTATAACTTGCCAGAGGTGGCAGAGCCCAGGTATCAAACTTGAGAGTTTTTCTAACTAAGAAATGTATGCTTGTTACAGCTGTATTGTACCTTGCTGCCTCTTTTTAATATATGCCCCCCCCTCCACACCTACTTGAAAATATCTTCATTGACTAAAATACTACAAAACATCATCATCCACAGTTCAAAAGGAGTAAAACTGATCACACATTCTAGTAAACATGTTCTTTAGCTATCTCTCCTATTCCCTTGGGCGTGGCCTGCATGCACTCATTTACTAGTCTGCCTTTACTGCTTACAGGTTCCTAGATTAGAGTTAGAAGATAGGGCATAGGGATGGGCTGTAAAACAGTAAGACACTGTGGTTACTGAAAAAAGCTCTTCAAATTACTCTCTCCCTCCCTTGTCAAGTTTAAGATGTAAAATTGTTTGTGTTTATATATACTAACAATCAGCGACTGGAAATTGAAATTTAAAAATACATTTATAATGACATGAAAACATGGACTACATCAGAATAATTCTAACAAATTATTTGTAAGATTTTAATGCCAAAAACTACAAAATACTAGTAAATTAGTGAAGATTAAAATAAATGGAGAAATATACTGTGCTTATGGGTGACACAACTCAACATTGTTAATATATAGATACTTCCCAAATTGATTTATCAATTAAATGAAATACTAATCAAAATCTTGATAGGCATGTTTATAAAAATTGACAAATAGATTCTAAAATTGATGTGAAAATGCTAATAATTACTTCAAATAGCCAAAACAATTTTGAGAAAGAAAACAAAATTGAATGTCTCACATTACCTGATTTCAAGCCATACAGTGAAGGTACATTAATCAAGACAGTATTATATTAGTATAAGAATAGACTATTATATCAATGGAACACAATGGAGTGTCCTAAAATAGATCCATTCATATATAGTCAATTGATTTTTAACAAAGTCTTAGGTATTGTTTGGGGGAAGATGTTCTTTTCAGAAATGATGCTGGAACATTTGAACAGCCATATGAAAATAATGAACCTCGGCTTATATATAGCACCATATACAGGAAGCTGCTCATAATAGATAATAGAACTAAATATAAAGCATAAAACTATAACATTTCTGGAAGAAAACCTAGGAGAAAACCTTGTTGACCTTGGGTTTGTAGAAGAATTCTTAGGTAAGACATAAGAAGCACAACCCGTAAAGGAAAAAAATGTTCTTTGAAACACTCTGTTAAAAAAACGAAGAGAAGATGCAGACAGGGAGAGCTATTTGCCAAGTGTATATATGATAAAGGACTTGAATCCAGAATATATAAACTCAATAGTATTAGAAAAAATAACTCAGTAAAAAATAGTCAAAAGATTTGAACTCACACTTTCCCGAAGAAGAGATACTTATATTAAATAAGTGCATTTAAAATGCAAATTAGAACCACAGTGAGAAGCCACTAACACACTTCCTAGAATGTATTCAAAAACAAAAACAAAACCCAAAAAAATCCCACCAGTATTGGCAAGAATGTGAAGGAAGTGGACCTCCAATGCATTGCTGGGGGAAGAACCAAATGATATAGCCACTTTGAAAACAGTTTGGCGTTTCTTCTAGATAGTTAACAAAGGAAAGCATATGTCTACACAGATACCTGTCATCTACACAGACATCTGAATTCCATTCAGAATTGACAGAAACTGAACACAACCCAAATCTTCGGTGAATGGAGAGCCCACGTGTAGTACATCCTATACAATGCTACTCCGCAATAAAAACCAAAACTTTTGATATATGGAGCAGCATGGATGAGTCTTCAAAACATTATGTTAAATAAATGAAGCCAGACACAAAAGGCTACATACTCTGATCCCTTTCATGAGGGATTTTAGAAAAGACAAAACTGTAGTGAAAGAAATACTCATTAGTGGTTGTAATGGTTGGGAGACTAAAGGAGATAATTAACTCCAAAGGATTGGCACAAAGCGACAGTTGGGAGTGATAAAAATTCTGCATGTTGCTGGTTATGTTGGTTACACCACTAAATATACATTCATGTATATGTGTCAAAACTCTTGAACTTCAAAGGGTGAGTTTTACTATCTGTAAATGTAACTGAAAAACTTGAGTTTTACAATAGCTAAAAGTACACTGAGTTTCAATTAGAATCGCAACTACTGTTGTAGACTACATGAAATAATTATATACGATGCACTTGATTAAATATGTATTTCTGCTTGCATGGTAATATTTATGAAACTTTAAAATCTTAACGTAAAATGTTATAATAAAAATTCAACATTTACATTGTGTTTATTTTTTATGAACATTACAAAATAGTGGCTTTCTTTTGGCAATGAAGTCTATAGGAAAACAAAAACATGAAGTAGTTCTTATTTTATTTTTTTGCCTAGATTGAGCTGGATGGAAATAATAAAACTTATTCTCTTTGTTATATTGCAATCTTACACATGCCATTTTTCTCCCATTACCCTATTGTTATTTAATTACAAACTCCACAAATATTTCCCATAATGCTTTAACCTATTTTAAATCCTGTATGTACAATATTTTAATTAATTGTATAATTTTGCCTTCACTTGTTTGTGATTAATTTTCACATTTAAATATCTTGCTTAGTTCAGTCATGTGTTTCAACCTTCACTTTTAAATTGCTTACTGATTTGTTTACTATAGTCATATATACATTCAGAAACATATTCTTCTCAAGTGGAATATTTTTTCTTTTAAATGTGAAATTGAATGAAATTCAGAGCTAAGAAAGGTTTACAGATTTTCCTTTTTTTCTTTTTCCTTATGCAATATCGAGAAGCCGTTTTTTATCTGAATAAAACAACTTTCTGTAGTCAAGATGTCCTGTTGTGTTAATTTATGATTGATATGGCCATGTTAGAAGGAAACTAACTATAGTATTGATTACTTCCTGTAGGAGTCCCCTGGTGTTGCCAATTGCCAAGCAAGACAGTTTGTTGGAAAAAGACATTATGTTCAAAGATGCAACAAAAGGTCTATGCAAGAGACAAGCTCAGGATAGCCCTCCTGAAAACGCCACTGTAAATGGCCCCACCAAACCTGAGCAGGTAATTACACCCTTACTGAGTGTCTGCTAGTATTGTGTCCTATATGTCCAAAAACAAATACCTACTAATTTCCATTCAAAGAAAATTTAATGAAAGCGTGGATTAATATTTTGTTTAAAATTTCCATTGATAAATTGTTACGGTATTTTACTGACCATTAACCATAACTACTATTTTGTTTTATAAGGATTTGAATTTTACAGTCTTATGTATCAGGAATGTAAGCCCAGCCAATATGTTAATTCCCAAATATTTCCAGTTCTGTCTTTAGACATCATTTTTATTATCATATAGACTCTATTTTTTATTTCCTTCAAATATCCCAATATTTTCTATAACAAGAAGAAAGATAAACCAATCACTGAGTGGTTTATCCTTAAAAGTAACAGTGATTGTGTATTGTGTATGCGTTTGTATGTATGTGCATGGCCCAGTGCCCAGGTTATAGAAGATCACTGTGATGTGCTTGGAGTTACAGAATTTAATGTATTTTATGTGATCATTTCCATAGAAATAAATGATTTTTATGTGTGTCATATTCTATAAATAGCAAAGTAATTTTATAGATGTTAGATTAATCTTTGAAATGTCTTGTTTCAGTGTATCTAATTTTGAATGTTTTAAAAATATTTTAACTAGATTTTCTAAGGACTGTTTTCAAAAGTTTTTTTTTTATTTCATTAGTTTTCATTTTAAAATAATTAAAACAGCAAAACATTTGAAATACTTTTAAATTTCAGTAGGTGTCTTCATCTGCTCAGGCTGCCATAACAAAATACCACAAATTAGGTGGCTTGAGCAACAGAAATTTATTTCTCACAGTTCTGGAGACTGGAAGTTCAAGGTCAAGGTGCTGGCTAGTTGAGCTTCTGGTAGAGGCCCTCTTCCTGGCTTGCAGATGGCTGCTTTCTCACCGCGTCCTCATGTGGTGGAGATAGGGAGAGAGAGAACCAGCTCTCTGGTATCTTGTCTATGGGCACCAACCCTATGGGATCAGGGCACTACCCTATGAGTGTGTTTAATTTTCATTACTTCCTGAAAGCCCTATTTCCAAGCACAGTTAGTTACATTGTTGGTTGGAGTCCCAACATATGAATTGCCGGGGACACAATTCCGTCTGAAGCAGTAGGCAAATTGAATGTTAGATAAATTTAAGGCAAAGTTTTTTCTTAACTTTCTTAAGGATCCTATGAACTTCCTGTAACCTTAAATGCATATTACTAAGTGGAACAAGCCAATCTGGAAAGGTGACATATACTGTGATTCCACTATTTGACATTCCGAAAAAGGCAAAACTATGGAGACAATAAAAATATCAGTGGTAGCCAGGATTTGGGTGAGGGAGAGATGAATAGGAGGAAAACAGAGACTATTTAGGGCCTTGGAGCTACCGTGTATGATACTGTAATGGTGGATACATGTCATTATACACTTGTTAACATCCATAGAACATCCAACACCAAGAGTGAACCCTAATGTAAACTATGGACGGTGGGTGACAATGGAGTGTCAATTTGGGTTCATCCACTGTAGCTAATGTACCACTGTGGTGGGGATGTTGAAAATGGTGCGGGCTGTGTGTGTAGGGCCAGGAGTATATGGGAAATCTCTATACCTTCCTGTCAGTTTTGCTGTGAATCTAAAACTACTCTAAAAAAAAAAAAAAATCTTAAAAAAATGAGAGAACATCCACAACATAAGGTCAAGTATAATCCTTTTATACTTAAAACCCTTTTACACTTAAAAGTAGAATGACTTTTCTTTTTTTAATGTAAGCTCTTTATTATTGTATCCTAGACATTAAAAGCAGTTGTAGTTCTATTCTTTTTATTTGTTATGAACTGTGGTGTTCGACTATAGTCGAATGATATTTTCATGCCACTGACTGCGGCGTTTGACTTTATCCAATGAACTCAGTGTTCCAGAAAGGACGTTTAGGAAAGCAGGTGTACATTTTTCTCTATTTTTTGTGTTTTTCAAGAATGGATAACAATAGGAAATTTTTATACTTTAAAGTAATCATTTATTTTAATAAAATGTAGCACCTTAGCTGTATTTACTTAAAAATATAAGTGCTGTAATTATTTTTTGTAGATGTTTGATACATTTTGGAGAAAAAAGTTGAAATCAGTTAACACAGCGAAAGGGTTAAAGAGGGAGTGGCTTATTGAGGATTTATGTGCATATGTTACCTATGTAACATTCTCCCCCATCTCCCACTGTATGCATCACACTGTCATACATTCTTGGCCATGAGCTTCCCTGGCAGGCCTCCCCAGAGAAAGAACAAAGGAAGAACCCTGATTGGGTTATACATTCACATTTTCTAGGAGAGCTTTAGAAAAAGCTGGTCAGAACAATGAAGTTCTGATTAATGTTTTAAAGAGGAATATATAAGTTAGAAAAAAAAAACTTTTAATTGAAACAGAAACCACAACATTTTTCCTTCCAGATTTTTATAACATGTAGGCCTTAACAAATGGTAACTGTGTAAATGACTGTTCAAGGCTTGATGTAAACTTTTTTGGTTCTAATAATCACCCAAATTAATAATTGCTATTATAATGTCTATGAGAATGTAGAATTTGTCTTAAGTTGCTTAGAAATGGGTAAGCCATTCTTCCTTCTTTTCCCTTTTTGTTCTGTTTTCCCTTCGCATTCCTCCTCTCGCCTGCCCTGTCCTCTTCTTCCATTTTCTTTCCAGTTTCCTACCTTCTTCTTCCCTCTCTTTCTTCCTCTCTCTCTTCTTTCCTTTCAGAATACTGTATTTATTTCTATTTAGTTCAAGCTTGAAAATCAGGTCAAATTTTTATCCCATTTAGTGAAGGCATGTTAGCCTGGGAGTTAAAGAGAAGGCATGATGAAGTCATACACATTTGCTGTGGTTCAGGTCTGCCACGGGAGCTCTATGACTCTGCAAATTGTTTAACCCCACTAAGCCTCATCTGTGAAATGGGTACACAGTACTGACCTCATATGGTTGTTATGAAGATGACAAAAGGTTAAGGCTATAAGGTGACAGCCTTTTACCAAAAACCAAATAAAAACTCAGTAAGATGTATTCATTATTTTATTGTTATTATTTCTATAGACTGTATATTAGGTTTTGTCAGAGTGGTTGAGTCCTCTAGTCACTAATTCATTTGTTCTTAATTCATGTAAATCCAGGGTGCACATCAACCAGGTTTCATTGTTTTAATGTAAATATGGATTATTTTAGAATATAATAATACAAAATAATAATTTATATTGGTTAACATTTTAAATCTTAAAAATGCTTTTACCTGTATCATCTTTATCCTCAAAATACCACTGTGAGCAATTTATTGTATTTTCGATGCTTAACTTACGCTCACGTTTCAAACTGAGTTTATACCAACCAAACTGAAACTAAAGAAACTTAAGCAAATTGCCTAGAATCATAAGTGTTTCTTTTACACTGTATCCCATGTTCTTTTGAGGATACCACAGCAAGCTTTGTCTCCCTCTTCCAGGGCCCTGCTGACTGTGACAGTTCTATAAATAGGAAAAAATGTTTGCATTCCATGGGGCCATGTCCAGGTAGGGGTTTCAGAGATCGAAGAGAAGAGAATTCTCTTTCTAAGTCCACAGATATACCAACATTCACATACACAGAATGGAAATCCTCAGCCAAACAAGGTATAGTAAGTGAAAAGAACTGCTAAATTTCACTTAGAGACACCTAACAGAATAACAAAAGCAAGGAAAAAACAATTAAAATGCTCTCCATACGTGGTGCGGTGCCGGCTACAGCTTTGGGAAGCTCAGTATAAAGTATTTTGACAGATTAGCACCCCTTTCCCTGTCATAACTATGGCAGCCACCTTGTGGGGTTTTTTTTTGTTTGTTTCCTCTTATCTCTTCATTCATGAATGCTGGGTCCTTTCCTCCTAATCTGCCTTCCCCGAGGTCTTGTTGCCCTTATCCCAGTTGTCAGACCATCTCTTGCCCTTGGAACTTGCAGTTCTTGGATACATACTACTCACCTTCTGGAGAGAAAAGTCGCAAACAATCAACAAAACAGCAGAGTGGGCAGCACTCAAAGCAGTATTGACAAGTGGAGACAAGGAATCAGTGAATTCAGAATATTTTCAAAACTTAAATCTCCTTTGGATCTTAAAACATTTCTGGAAGTGTTTCTACTATGTTCTTACTGACTTTCTAGCCTCAATTTTGTGTTTTAGATCTCCAGTTTTGGAAATATATATGAAGAGATTTATAATGGATATTTATATTTCTTCAGAGGAGCCATAATTTTTAATTCTCTAGAGGATGTTGATTTTTTTCACATATTTATCCCATCTCTTTTTTGACTATTATAATTGTTTGGTAGACATTGGTAGTATATACTGTTGAGTTTACAAGTATGACATAAAACTATTCACAGACATATTTTTCTTGCTTTGTTACCAGCTGTCACAAAGCTTTTGAAATCTTTGTCAAGAATGTGTCCCTTTGATAACCTTGCTTAAGATTGATTATCAAAGCTTCCTTCCTAATCCTTTTGGAATTTTGATATGATAAATTCTAGGAATTCTTCCCTTGATCTACTCTAATACTGTGTTTGTCACATTTCTTAACTACACACAGACAAGGGAGTCTTCACATTTTTACTGTCAGCCTAGTATTTTCTCTAACCCGTGCAACAGCTGTGCCGCTGTATCTGAAAATCCTCAAGAATACCAAGGAGATGTCTGCAATAGCTCTTTCAGGCTTGTCAGAACAAATGTGGAACTTCTGTTAGTGCTATTCATGCTTTTTCTAAATATGCATGCAGAAATTTGCATTGAGCTCGTTAGAGTTGTGGTTATAAGAGGAATTTTATTATCTTAGTGTAAATCATTACTTCTGAAGGAAAAACCTTGCTCTTGATTTTTCTTCTTTTTGATTTCTTTGGGACTTAGATATATATGCTAACTTGTGGGAGATTTTGTCTTATTCTTACATTATTCAAAGTTATTGCAATCATATTATTGGCTTATTTCATGTATATGCATGAATATGTATATATGGGTGTATTAATTTTGTGTATATATATATATATACACACACACACAAACACACATGCACACACATATACATGCATATTAGTTTTCTAGGATGCATATCTGTATATATAAATCTTTATGCTTTGGGAAATGCTTGCAGACATTAAAAAGAAAAGATATTTACACCCATCCCTAAATTGATGAAAGTTCCCTTTTATGTCTCTCTCTGTATAAAGATTTTTGCTAGTAGTCTTGTCATTTCTAGAGAATACATACTTACCCATTTCCACTTATTTTCTAAACTCCTTTTATATCTAAGAGCAAACAGTCCAGCCTGTGATTCTGAAATATAGTAAAGTTGTCCATCAATATGCATAAACATTTGATCTAGTCTAAATTAATCCTAAGTAATACATCAAAGACAATTCAGTACCACACAGCTGAGCGTGGTAGTCCCTCTTCCTCTTAAATAAATCCAATCCATCCCTCCGCTTCTCAGACCCTTTGCTGGACCATTATTTGTAGCTTGCTAACTGGCCTCAACATTCCCACCTTTCACTCCACAGGAGTATTACATTAAAAATATGAAGCCGCTTCACAATGTCAGACCCTTGCTTCAGCTCTTCAGTGGCACTCCATAGTCTTCAGAATTAAGCAGAGACTCTGCTTGACCTACAAGCTTCACCTGCTCCTTCAACCCCATCTGCTGCCATGTTCTCCCACCCTCCAGCCACAGGAGCCAATGTCAAGTGCATCCACACACTTGTCTCTTTCTGACCTTGGGACCCTTGCCATCTCCTTCCCTCTCCCTGGACCCATTTCTCCCACACCCCAAAGGATGGCCTTTTCAGGTTATTTCCAATTTCAGCTATAACGGGACTTCCTCCAAGAGGAGTCCTCCATCCAATCAAAAGTGCAATTTTTCTCTTTTTCAGAGCATCCTGTATTTTTCCTTCATAGCACTTTTCATACTTGTAGCTTCTTATTTATGTCCTTACTTCTCCCACAGTAGACTGTAAACACTTTGAGGTAAAAGACTTCTTTCCCTTTCTCTCCTTGTACTAAACCTCGAGCATATTGCCTGGCAAAGAATAGGTGAGCAAAGGGAAAAAAGGCAAATTATCAAATATATTTGATCAGATGTATTCATTACCTGGTAGAATTCCTCCACGGTTGCCTAAATCCCAGCTTCTACTTTCGATTTATCATCTGTGTGACCCTAGGGAAATCACTTGGCTTCTCTGGGCCTCAAGTTCTGCATCTGTTAATTAAGGATGTTGGAATATATCAATGAATTGGAACTTTTTAAAATCATTGTTTAGCAGCAAAGAAAATAAAAACTCCAATCCCTAAAGTTGATGAAAGCTGACTGTCTGCTGAAAGCAGCAGAGACCAACTCAGAGCCCCCTGTAGCTGCCTGCCCCCTCTCATCTCCCATGGCAGCCTTGGGGAGGTTGGCAGGAAGTTTACCACTAGTGTCCATGGCCATTGCTAGATGTTTTACTGATTGCATAAAAACACACCCCATTATTTCTCACTTATCTGCAGAGCAGGCACCATGCCAAGCCCTCCACACACATTCAATCCTCACAACTGACTCTGAGGAACATCCTATTATTTGTCTTACTTTATGAGAGAATTAAAAGTGACTTCATGATGTTAAGAAAAATGTTCAAGCTCTCACAGATAATACCCCTGGGGTTTATTTAAACACCATTCACTGAGGTGTATATAAATAATTGATGTCTTAGACTTAAATGAGCTTGAATTTTCGAGTTTTCCAAGCATGGTATCTCAAATCAGTATGTAAGATTTTTTCCCAGAATTAGCATGGTTGACGAAAAAGCAGAATGAAACATCACATGGGTCAAGAAGACAGAAGACTACTAGGTGCTTCACCTAGGGGTTAGGCAGAAACGGTTAGCACTGCTTTATTTTCATGCTTCTCTGAAAGCTGTCAGTTTCGGCAGCAGTAAGGGCCTGATTCTTCAAAGTGAAACTAAGTACAATGTTAAAAAACTAATATCACACAATCCCCAAATTGATTTTGACAGCCCAGAAAGTACTACAAGAGCTGGAACTTTATGATTTCTATTCAGCAACAAGTGCTAGTTTTTGGATACCATTCTTGAACTATTTAGGGAAATATTTCTGACAGTATCAAATCCTTAAAGCTATGCCTCTAACCCAAAGTTAAATAACTACTTTTAATAAGACTATGTCATATGTTCTTTATAGGTTAATTCTGAAAGGTATTTTGAGACTTTTTTCTTTTAATGCTGCAGAAACAGAGACAATAAATGCAAGGTGCTGGCTGAGTGTGTGCATGCTATGGGGAGGGGAGAGTCTTATTCCTGACATTTCTGAGGTCCGGAATATTTTACAAATTAATTTTTAATGAATAAACATGATGCTATTGGAATGTTGTGTTTCCCACTTATACAAATGGTTGTATCTCAAATGCCTGAGAGTCCACCGCCATGACACCCTTCCAACTAGAACACATTAAAAAACCAAACCACTCTTCTGTTTGAAATTCTCAGTAAAGAATTTAAGTTTCTATTATTAATGTATTAGGATCAGAAACAGTCTGGGAAAGCAATGACCTGAATTTATGAACTCATGAGAAAGATTGCATTTTGGGAAGTACTTACTCGTATCAGAAAAATTCCTAAATTTAGTTTTTAAAAAATGTGTAGTATTTTTACTCTATAAACATTTAGCTGATAAGCAGTAATATTTAAGTTTAAATTATTTAGCAATAGTACACTCAGTAGTTCAATATATAATACAAATATAAAATGCAAATACAAATATAGAATACAAACACAAATCCTAGTAATACAAGTAAACTTACTGTTATTAAAAATTCACTAGGAGCACCAATGATCTCACAGGAGCGTTAATAAGAATATTCTTGTTTTTTGCTCCTCCGTGTTTCACATAACAAAACCAAAGCTGTCATATCAAACATCTACTTTTCAGAGCATATCTTGTGTATATAAAAATAAACATTGCCCATTTCTAACTTGTAAAGGATAGATTTTCATCTAATCCGAATATCTCTCTTCTTTATTTTTAATATTTCCTAGTTTTAAAATTGATCACTCCATATTAAATTGAATAAGAAAGCGTTTTTGGACAGAATTGTCTTAATTTCACAGCTATAATACTTTAATCTTAAGAAAAATGTAGAGCAGAATAAAAATCACAAGCCAAAATTCTAGAGTTTACTTTGAAAATCTGGCGTCCTCCTAAATGTATGCAGAAACTAAATTCCGGGCACATTGCTTCCATGCCAACAACAGTAATATGCGAAAAAATTTGCTTTAGCTTTGGATGCACTGCAAATACGTGAGCTTTTTTCAGCTGCTCATCTTAGAAAGGACTCAGCACAGTTCAGAGCTGTCGAAATTGTAAGTAGGGACTAGAAAAATCAACATGCTGAAATGATTTTGACAGACTTAATGACTTTGAAGGACGTAAGGAAACGTTGGGGTGGGGGTGGGGTGTGAGTGTGCGTACACACTGGTGGTTATAGAACAGAAATCTTCATCTGAATGTATTTCTCTGTGGTTGTTCAGTTTTTTGTTCCTTGTAAGTGAACCATTTCATCTTTTAATAACAGTTTCAAACGAATGTGGTCTTTAAACTTTTGATATGTAATTGAAATGGAACATCCAACTGTGAAGAAAGTTGATTGCAAAGCAATTAGAATTGATCTTAGTTATCCCCCTCCCCACCCCACCCCAGGTCAAGCTAATGCCTCCTGCTCCAAGTGATGACCTAGCCACGCTCAGTGAGCTCAATGATGGCAGCTTGCTTTATGAAATTCAGAAGCGCTTTGGGAACAATCAGATATACGTAAGTGCCCTTGAAATTGCCTCTTGCACTGCATTTGTCTTGCTGCATATTTTCACCCTTCAGTGCCGCAAATATTACAAATAATGGGTTTGTTGTTGCTTCTGGCCATGCTGATAGCTTATGGTGGATTTCTCAGTGTTCAGGTTGATTCTTTTGGTTCAGTTATAAGGCAAGTTCAGCAAAGTTCCACATTTCAGAGATGTTAAGTGAAAGTTAATATCCTGAGGGTAGACAACTTTCTTGGAATGCTTGCTAGAGCCAGCAGGACATGTGTGTCACTTTTAAAACTGTTTATTTTCTCTAATTTAGTCTGATAGATCTGGTAAAGAAAGCTGAAGAGGAAAATTTGATTATGCATAGAGGACAGCCTCTGTATTTGCATGAAAAGATAAACTATTGCTCCTCTGAATTATCTGGAAATATCTTTGTAAATAATTTATACAGGGATCTTTGATAATAGGATACAAATATATATGACTCACATGACAAACAGCATGGAGAATTGCCTTGCTGTGGTTCTATCCTGGTTTATATGTGTTATTTCTTCCAACACTAGTAACAATTTAGATACCTTGTGATAACAAATTTTACTCTCTCTCTCTCTCTCTCTCTCTCTCTCTCTCTCTCGTGTGTGTGTCTATAGAGAAATCTAATTATACACATGCCTGCTATCCCTTTTTTGCAACACCCATTTTTTCCTAGTCTACTGAGAAATTAAGTAATTTTCGTGTAAATATGAAGTCTGAGATTTCCTTACAAGTAATAAATTGTCAGATGCTGATTGGCCTATGAAAATTCATAGCAGCACCTTAATGCTTGGATAAATCACCTGCCACTGTAAATACACTTAAAATTAAATGCCTCTGTCAGAATTAATAGAGTTGAGTCACTGGGGAAAGTGGTAAACCCAATTACTTTGGTCTGTTACTGCCCCATTACTTGTGAGTTATTTGTAGTCCATTTTCCTGCCTTACCCATCATTGTGATGATGATTATTCTTTTTAAGTTCCTAATTATATTATCAGAAGACTACTGCTTGAATTGTTTTGAATTTCTTTATTTCCTTCAAGCTTTCCAAGTGGCTTTGTCTCCCAAATATCCATTTAATTTAGTTCTCTCCATCTCGGTGACCATCATCCTCTTCAAAGCCATCATCATCCCTTCTCCAACAGCCTCCTAACTTTCTAGAGGAAACTTCACTCCCTTTCAACCTGATCTCACAATGAACTACAGTAATTTTTGTAAAGAACAAATGTAATGTCAAAACTCCCAGTCCTAAAACTTTCCTATAGCTTATCATTTTTTGTGGGAGGATGACCACAGTCCTTATTCTGTAGTCTGGAATCTTCTATGAAACTCATCAGGATCCGGCCCCTGAACACTTTTGTTTATGACTCTTAGGTACTGATCATTATCTTCCTTCCTGCATTGGGGACTTGCCTTATTTTTCCTTCCATAAAGCTCTCTTTCTACCTCCGTGAACATTTAATTTTATAAACTGCCACTCAAAGGTTGTTCAGCCTTTGTGTAAACCTTCCCAGACCTCCCAGATTATTTCACTGTGGAGGATCTTTCTGTAGAGCTTCTAGCAACACTTACGGTTATATGCCTCATTCATGGTTTGATTAGCACCTGACTCCTGTACTAGACTCTGAGCTCAGTGAGAATAGGCCCCAAGGTGGTTTTGCTCACCAAGAGGCCTGGAGTAACACTTTTTTTTTTCTTTTTTTTTAATTGAAGTTTATTGGGGTGACAATTGTTAGTAAAGTTACATAGGTTTCAGGTGTACAATTCTGTAATATATCATCTATATATCACATTGTGTGTTCACCTCCCAGAGTCAGTTCTCCTTCCATCACCATATATTTGATCCCTTTTACCCTCATCTACCACCCCTCTACCCCCTTACCCTCTGGTAACCACTAAACTATTGTTTGTGTCTATGAGTTTTTGTTTCTTCATTTATTTGTCTTGTTTCTTTGTTGTTTTCAGTTTTATATCCCACATGTCAGTGAAATCATATGGTTCTGGAATTTTTCTGTCTGACTTATTTTGCTTAACATAATAATCTCCAGATCCATTCATGTTGTTGCAAATGGCATTATTTCATCTTTTCTTATGGCTGAGTAATATTCCATTGTGTATATGTACCACTTGCTACCTGTTTATCTAACTCTTCCACACAGTGGACTATCTTCATAGACACTCTCTACTATCTGGATAATCAGAATTAATATTCACTTCTTTGCTAAAGTTCACATAAAATATATATTTTCCACTGTGTGTGTGAATCATGGTTTTCCTCTTCTTCATACCTGATATATTGAAGAACTAGATCATCTAGGATCAATTTTGTGATGACTTTTCTAAGTTATGGTATTTGAATTTATTTCTCATGGATAGATAAGCAATTCAAACATTATTGATTGAATACTAATTAGCAATTCTCAAAGTGTACCTTGTAGACGACTGAGTATGTGAACATTGTATTACCAGTCTGAAATGAGATTAAGCATTTAGAAACTTAATAGCAATGTGATGGTTTAATTGGCATCTGTTGAATCTAGTAAAAATCAAGTTTTGCAATTTGTAAGCCTTGGTCTTTTACAATTTTATTTTTCCTCGAATTAATAATCCTTATTATATTTTGCAAAAGTATCAGTCCATGATGAATTGGAAATAAAAGCAAGTGTTTCTTTCCCACAAATATAAAAGCACTAGTTTAATAGATGTCTGAAGATTAAAATATTTGAATTTATCATCTGTTCTGGATACCCACGCTCCCAACACATGCCTCCCAAAGCCTCTCCCATTCCAGTTAATGGCATCCCCTTTCTTCTAGTTTCTAGGCCAGAGTGCCTGGTAAAACTATTGATGCTTACCTTTCTTCTATATCCCACCGATTTTACTGTAAATGTCATCAGCCTTACCTTCATAATATATACAGAATATAATTTCCACTGCTGCTGCCTGGGCCAATCAGAACCAAGATAAAATATTTCAGTTGAATTAATTGTTTAATGAGGATTTTCATCTTTTTTTGCTATAATTTGATTTATTATATAAATGATCTTTCAAAATGATCTGTAAATTGCTCTTTTAAGTAAGTGTATAGCATTCCATTTAGATATTAGGTTGGGAAGTTTCCACACAGTCTGTAGCAGAAGGAAGTTCTCAAACCATCAAGCAGAAAATGGATTGCGATGAGACATGTGCTAGCAAATGCACAGAATAAAGGCACTGCATTTGCTGAATAATTATTGTCAACAGTAACAGAGAAAATAGAATATGCAATGAAATCTCTTCATGGATGGCCAGCCAGTAAGCATATACTCAATATTCTCTTTACAAACGTACTACTAGAACATTGAGATTCATAAAGAAAAAAAAACCCACACAAAATAAAAATAAATCCTATAACATCTGATTAGCCAAGTATGGAGCCTGACTCATCTCAGCCACTTAATAACTTAATATTCCCTTCAGGGTCACCCAGTTGGATATAGTAGGTCATCTTTTCAAGGGCATCACTCAAGAGGCAAAAATTGACGATATGGTGTCAGAAGTTGAAGTCTCCTTCACATCCAGGATATTTGAAATTATGTAGATGGACGTGGTTTTCCAAGCTAATACCACCCCCTCCTACCCTAGTTATCTAAAGCCTTATCTACAGCATGCTATGCTATACTATGCAGTACCTGCCATATAGTTGTATGTTATTCCATTCAATCTAAAAGACACATTTGAACACTTGACATGTGTAAGCTGTTAAGGAAATGTACTGTATTAGAAAAATGAGGTAAAAGAACTGTTTAGGTCTCTACAATTAAAAAAAGCATTTCTCTACAGTATATTTAAAATGTTCCATTTCATCAAAATGGCCTGTTCAAAATATAGCTTAAACCTATATAAAGTCATCCTTTATGACACTCATTAATATTCAAATCACATTTTTATAAATTATTTTTTGCCTACTACAAATATGTATTTTCAAAGACAGGCTCAATTTCCTTAAATAATTACACCAATATAAAAATTATGTCTGAAGAAAATAAAATTTAAAGGTACTATATTTTGATTTTATTTTAAAAATTTTCATCTTCCTTAATTCGCAGGCTTCCCAATTCTCCCTCAATCTACGTTCTAGCTTCATTTTTCCTCTCTGGAACTTAAGAGTAATTTTCATATACTAAACTAATGAGGCCTCCATTCGGTTCAGTTACTTCACTTTTATTTCTCGTCTCCACTACTTGGCTATAAAATACTGGCCAATTCTTTGAAGTAAATATATTAAATTACAACATATAGCAAGAATAATGCCCACCTCATTAGTGCATGGCTACGTGAATTTTTATTTGGTGAACATACCAATAAACCAGCAGCTTCATAAAGAAGTGGAATCTAAGAAACCCCTTCCTCAATTCATCCTAATCATTATGCAAGTTTCAGGGATGCAGGACTAGCGAATAGGTTTGTCTGATTTTTTTTTTACTTTATATAAAAGGAATAATCATACATTCTCTTCTGTGACTTTCATCTTTCATGCATTGTTATGTTTCTGATATTCAACTGTACTGTTGCTCATAGCAGCACTTACCCATTTTCATTTCTGTACCATAAGCTACTATATAAATATATCCTAATTTATTTATCGAGTCTATAACTGAGTTTTTTCACTTTTAGTTTATTATAAATACTACAGTTATAAACTGTTATATCTTTTGTAGGCACACATACATGAGTATTTTTGTGATGTAACATACAGAAGCATTTCCATGGGGCATTTACCTAGAACTAGAACACCAGCATCGTAGGTATGTTCAACTTTAGTAAATTCAGCCAAGTAGTTTAGTGTTTCAAAGTGGATACACAACCACCACAGGCTTTTAGGTTTCCGCATCCTCACCAGCACTTAGCATGGTTAGTATTATTTGTTTTATTTTATTGTTTTCACATTCTAGTCATCCTGGCAGTTGTGCAGTGCTCTCTCTTTATGGTTTTAACTTAAATTTCTCTGATAGCTAATGACATTAACCAATATCAGTTTGTTGGTTATTTCATTATCGTACTTTATGAAGTGCCTGTTCAATTATATTGCCATTTTTAAAAAATAGTGTTGTTTTGCTTTTTCTTCTTCTTTTTTTTTTAGAAAAAAAATTATTTTTTACTTTTTGTAAAGTTTTTCTACTCTAAGCTTGACAAAGCTGAAAGGTTGACCTGATTTTTTTTCTCCTGCCTTTCAAACCAATCAGGTTTGAAATATGTATGTGTGTGTGTGTGTGTGTGTGTGTGTGTGTGTGTGTGTTCCTCAGTTCCTCAGTTATATACACCATCCTTTTTATTCTTGATGTTTAGGGTTTTTATTCATTTATGATATTCTTTCTTAGATATATTATTGCAAGCATTTTCTCCCAGTTTGTGACTTGCATTTTGGTATTCTATAGTGTCTTTAGAAGAGGAGAAGTTTGTAATTTTTATAAAGGTCTTTAAGGTTAGTGGTTTTTGTGTCCTGCTTAAAAAATTTGGCCTTGGTCATGAAAATATTTTCCTATATTTTCTTCCTGGAGTTTGATTGTTTTAACTTTAACATTTGAGGTGTATTACCATTGTGGAAGTGCTTTCACAATGGTTAAAGAGCAAGGTCAAGATTAATGTTTTTCCTGGACCGGCCGAGTGGCTTGTGGGTTGAGAGTTGGCTTGGGATGCCAGCTCTGAGCAGCAGGGCTGCTGGTTCAGATCCCACAAGGGCCAGTGACACTATCCTCTACAGCTAAGATGGTGAACAACAGCTCAACCTGGAGCTGGGCTGCCATGAGTCGCCGGTGATGGTGTAGGCTGCAGCCCCTGCTGCAGTGGGCTGCCATAAGCTACCGTGAGTGGTCAGCAGCCAGCATGAGCGGCCTGCAGCTGGTGTGAGCTGCCAGGAGCCGCCGTGAGCGGCCATCCAATGGCCGGCGACTGATCTGCCTCAGCCTGGAAGAGCGCAATGATCACAATACCAACATGGGCCAGTGAAGTGACGTCCTCCACAACTAGACTGAAGAACAAAAGGATAGCAACTTGTCTGTTCCCTCCCCCAATTCCCCAATAAAATCTTAAAAAAAAAAATTAATGTTTTTTTCTAAGTGGATTTGCCCCTGCATTGCAATGGCACCTTGTTGTAAATCAGGTGACCGTGGGGAATGGCTCTATCTCTAGAATCTGTCTTCTGTTGTGTGGATCTGTTTATCTATAAACCAATACCAAAATATTTGAATCATTACACCTTTATACCTATATAAATCTTGGTATACAGAAAGTCTTCTGACTTTGTTTTCAAAATGTCTAATCATGATTCTTGGACATCCATATGTATTTTAAAGTCAATTTATCACTTTCAATTGGATTTTCATTGGCATTGCATTGACTATATAGATTAGTTGGGAATAATGGAGATTTTAACAATATTTGATTTTTCATTTTATGGAATGTTATAGTCCTCCATGATTATCTTTAATTTTTCTGCAATATTTTTAAATTTTTTGTGTAGAAGTCATGCCCATTTGTTTGGGATCTATTTCTATGTATTTTTCAAATTTTGTGCTATAATAAATGTTACTGAAAATAACAAGCATATTTCATTTTCTAGTTGTTTATAGCTAATATATAAATACAATTTTGATTTTTTATATTCACTTATGTAAATATTTATATAGAGATTCATTTGGATTTCCTGCATATAGTATCATAGAGTCTCTGAATAATAATTTATTTTTCTTTTTAAAATTTTGATAGCTTCTTTTCTTTCTTGCATTATTTCATGGGATTGGACTGTCAATATAAAGGTGACTGAAGGTGACAATAATAGACATCTTTATCTCATTTTTGATCCCAAGGAGAAGCTTTCAATGTTTTATCATTAAGCAAGGGGTTTGCAGTAACTATGCCATGGCTGTAGTTACTTTTTATTAGATTAAGTTTCATTATATTAAGATTTTGAAAGTTATTAATTTTTCATCAAAAGTGGAAATTAAATGTTTTTAAATGTTTTTTTGACGTTTATTGAGATGATCATATAACTTTATTTTGCTTGTTAGTATTATAAATTACAACAGTTGATCTTCTAATATGAAGCCAACTTGCAATACTAGAATAAAGCCTACTTGGTTGAAATATATTTTCTGTTGAATGTTTTACTGTAACTTAATTTGTCAGTATTTTGCTCAGCATTTTTGCATGTATTTTATTGAGAGAGAACAGCCTGTAATTTTCCTTTCTTTAAATATAGAATAGAAGTAAAGTTTTTTAACATTAAGTTTATGCAATTCTCTTAGAGCAAAATAAATAGCGTTCCCTCCTGTTATTTTCTGGAAAAATTTATATAACGTTTATTTTGTACTTCACTTTGGGGAGAATTCAGTGAAGTTTAAGTTTTTTTTTGTGGTAAAGTGTTTAGGCATAGATTAAATTTCCTTTACACAGAAAAAAACTAGTTATATTTTCTTTTTTATTGTGTTCATTTTGGTAAGATGGTGGATTGTTGTTCACCTATTTAAATATCCAAACTTAGTTGCTAAAATATTATTTCTAATATCTTCATCTCTTTTCACGTCTATAGAATCTATAGTGATATAGTCATATTACTGATGTTAGTAATCTGTGCATTTTCTCTGGAAAGTCAGTCTTGTTAGGGTACTGTCTATTGTATACGATTTTTCAAAAGATCAGCTTTTGGCCTTTGTTTATATTACATTAATTTCTGCTCTTATATTGATTAATTCTGTATAATTTATGAGCTACTTGAAATGGATCATTAAATATCCCCTTTTCTTTTTTTCTAACATAATGCATTTTAGGTGATAATTTTTATACCAACTATACCTTTAGTTGCAAATCACAAGTTTTAATATGTTGTAATCAAAATATTTTGTCTTTTACATTGTGATTCTTTTTGTGGCTCATAGGTTATTTGCATATGTATAAGTTCCGAACATTTTGTGATTTTCTAGGTATCCATTATTAATTTTGAATTTAATTTTTAATTAGAATATACTCTGTGACTCAGATCCTTTAAATGTAATGAAACTGGCCTATTTTCAATTTAAAAGAATGTACATATATCTACAGTTGTTGGTAACAGTGTTCTGCATGTCAATTGGCCAACTCAGTAATTATTTATTTCAAAATTTTGTCTGCTAATTCCATGACTTTCTAGGAAAAAAGAAAACAAACTTAAAATTCCCCACTATCATTATGAATTTATGTTTTTCTGCTTACAGCTGTTTTTGCTTCATCTATTTTATACTAGATGTTATTCTCATAAAAATTTAGAATTGCTGTATCTCTTCCTGATTGGTTTATCATTTTATCATTGTAAAATGTTTGTTTTTCATATGTGGTAGTGTTGCTTCCCTTCATGTATTTTCTATGAGTGGAGTTTTGCTAAACCACCTTTTTTTGCTGCTGTTATTATTTGCAAGATCTTGCTTCATCCTTTAACTTTCAAATTTTGTCTTTAAATTGTTTCTCTTTAAAATAGCACATAGTATTTTTTTAATTAGTTTCAAGTGTACAAAACAATGTAATAACTAGACATTTACACCTCTAGCTGTGTAGAGCATAGTATTTTAATCAAGTTCATGATCTTTGTCTTTTAATTAGAATATTTAGTAGCTTAACATTTGATGTACTTACTAATGTATTTGGGTTTAAAGCTATCATTTTATTAAAACAACTTACAGAATGTTAAAGTGATTTTTACATATACTGTCTTTTGCACAGTGATTTTTAATTTTAAAGCTGCTATTTATACAGTTCAAGAACTATTTATATACTTTTGTCTTAACAGACTTTTATTGGGGACATCCTCTTGCTCGTTAACCCGTTCAAAGAGCTTCCAATTTATTCCACCATGGTGAGTATAAACTGTAAACTATCCTTTAATATTGTAGAATAACACTCACCAGACGTAACTATTTGCATCAAATGACTGGTTAAGAAGAAAAACCATAATAATAGGTAAGGTTAAATGCCTCAGAAAATTCTAAATTGAGTAGTTGCTTAATGATTCTCTTCATTATATTTAATCTTCAAAGTTTTGGGCATAGAGTCATTCATAATACTATTTTGTTAATGTTTGTAGAATTTTGAGTGATTTCTTTCCATTCCTTATGTTGGTAATTTATGGCTTGTCTTACCTTTTAAAATCAATTTACTAGGAATTTATGAATTGTATTAATCTTTTCAAAGGAAAAAAAAAACTCTTGATTTTTAATTTTTGTATTGTATGTTTATTCTGTACACAGTTGATTACTACTTTTTATCTTTATTGTCTCCTTTGCTCTACCTTCTTTGAGTTTAATTTGATAGTTGTTTAAGTTATAGTTATGTCATTGATTTCTGCCTTTTTTGAATAAGTATTTGAGGCATTTTATTTTGCTTTAAACAGTTTTACTAAATTCTATATCTTTGATATTTCACAATTTCATTATTATTGAATTTAAGATACTGTTTTCTATTGTGACTTTTTATTTGCTGTATGAATCCTGTAAAAATATAACCTTATTCTATTTTTATTTGCTACATTTGCTTCTCTTTGATCTATAGTCTGGATATATTGACTGACTAGGTTACTAATTCTCTCGCCTGTTGTTTTGAATTTGCAGATAAAACACTGTATTAAATTGATGATATCATTTTTTTCAATATTAAGATTTTCATTTTATATCAGAGATTCCAGTTCTCTGGTGAAATTTTTTGTCTTGGCACCTATTTTCTTGAACATGTTAATAATTTATTTTAAAATATGTGTTATATAACTCTAATAATTACTTAATAATCTAGTAACTAATACTAGATAATAATTCTAATCTAATTTAAATAATATAATATCTGTGTATGTTTCTAGTGTGTGTATTTGTCAATTCATTTTTCATTACATGGATGTATTTACTGACATTCCTGAAAAATGTTGATGGGATACTGAACCTTTAGTATAAACAAAGTTATAGAGGTTGGGGTGGGGGTATCATCTTCCAAAGAAGTTTTGTTTTCTTTCTCCCGGTGGGTAAATTATAGGCAGATGATCTTGACTCTGACAAAGTTCCTTTACTTTGTGTTTGTCCTTATGCTTAAGGCAAACCCCATTAAAGGTCTAAACTGAGAAGTTGGGATGATATCCATTTGATTTTACTTTGTTACTGAGATCTGAATCTTGAAATTGTGTCTCCCCAGCAGTGTGCAACTGCTAAAATGTCCACTTAATTTTTAGAAACGTACATTTACATTCTATGAGGCCTCTGAGCTTTACTCTGCAAAATGGCAATGCAAGATGAGAAAAAGTTATAGAGAAGATCCTGTCTGGCTCGATGCATTTTGATATTCTCCAACATCTTGACCTCTTACATGCTTAACTGCTTTGGTGATCTTCAGAGGCCTCCTATTAGGTGTTTAATTTGTATTTTATCCAGCTTTTATAGTTGTTCATGGTGAGATCATTAGTCTGAGACTAGCTACTTTATTATAGCTATATGATAAAATTGGCTATATCTGTTTTTATTACATTGGTGTCAGAAGATCATTTGCCTTCAAATGCCAAAGATTGGTTGGAATTTCATGCCCATTATTTTTAAATTCTGTATGCATCTTTCACAGAGAGGAGAGAGGGAGAGAAGAGAGAGAAAGAGAGAGAGAGAGAGAGAGAGAGAGAGAGAGAGAAAGAAAGAGAGAGAGAGAAGAACATATACATGCTATTTAAAGTTAACTATTGATGTATTGTCCCTGGCTTATATTAGAGCATCACATTTGATTGTAGAGTTAGCAAGAATCTTATGGTAAAACAAAATTGAATGTAAATAATTGAATAAAAATACATACACATATAAATGTTATTTAAATGCTTCCATGGAACTAGAGGTCAAATTCTAATTGTTAGGTTTTAACATAATAAGTTGTTATAATATAGCATTAACTGTCATAATGAATCTCGTAATATAATAAACTTGTTATTTTGTGGCTTTTTTCTTTTTAGGGTATCAATGGTATGGCAGTTTTATGGTTTCAAGTGATATGTTGTATTTACAGTTCTTTCAGAAATACATGCTACAAGAGAAGATTAACTTTAAGACACATATTTTCTTATAAATGTAGGAATGAGATATAATGTTTTGAGATTTTTGCCAGAATGCTTTGTTAAAACTTAAAATGGTGAATGCAATATGTACATTACAGGTATCGTACTTTATATTCATCATTTCCAACTGACTCTGGCATACAATGTAAGAGGAAAATATATTTAGGTAAAATAGGGACTGATATAAAGCTCACAATAAAATTACATACTTTTAACAGGTCATAATGAAATTTTACAGTGTCTGGTGCTTTGGAATTCACATACATTATGTACAATCAAATAGTTTGTACTCCCCTGGTCTACAAGTAATAACCCATAAAATTATAGATACTAGGAGGATACAAGGATTTAATGTATATGTTGAATTAGTGGCCATCCTCTGTAGCAGCAATATTAGTACCTCATAATTTTAAATCAGCTACTTGTGTACTGAGCCATGTTAAAATTAGCTCATTGTTCTATGGACACATAAGAAGAGAAAGTTTCATTTCTTTTTGTGTGTCTATTGATTATAATTATGGGTATGTTTATTGTTTAATATAAAATTTTAAAAATAGTTTTGTTTCTTCCCATGTTGATTAGTTTAATAAAAGAAGAAAATAAAACATTGAGTATGATCACATATATAAAGGTTATACCATCCAGGAGAATAACTTCTGTGTTTCATGTTGAAAAAAGAAAAAAATCCACATGCACGATTTGCGTCTTTTATTTTGTTACCATTATCATTATCCATGCGACATTTAGTCTTTGCGTAATATTCATTTTGTATCTAGCAGGTCATTAATCATGGATGTACCTTTTGTGACAAACTTCATTTTGAGACTAATGTAAGCACATGGCAGCAAGCAGCCCTGTCCATTAGATGGCTTGCTGCTGTAAGCGATGTTGATCTGATGCAAACAATCCCTGGGAGAAGTGGTACTTAGAGAGCCAGTAGGCAGACAGTTCTAAATGAAGTATAATCAACAGGGAAAGGTTCATTATTGTGCTGCCTATTTATGCTGAAGACAAGTATCATTGCTCATTTTACACATGTCAGAGTCAGGGGAGAAGGAGGAAATAGAAAAGTAACCCGATTTTTCTGGATCAGTTTTACAAAAAAAGCAACCTTATAATCAGGAACAAGAATGCTTTATCAAACCAACAAACATTGATTTCTTCTATTAAATATAATATGTTGTATTAGATATTTAGGGATGCTGCTTAAATGTCCCCTTGTCCTTAGGAACTGTGCTGACATTCTAGAGACAAAATGCAAATAGTGATAAAAAAGATAATCATAGACTGCACGTATAGCTGAGGAGAGTAAAATACATGTATTGGGAGAGTACACTATTAATAGATATGCTAGAAGGTTAGAAGGGAAGGGAATTTTAGATTAAGAAAGGCACTGCATGGAAAATAAATGTGCTTGGGCGAATCTTAAAGAATGAGTAACATTCCAATAACAGGAAAGGGAGTATCTTTTGGAGAATTGTCCAGAGCCACATTATGGAGATGACAAAATATAAGACCATTTAGAGGAATGCATAGACCGATTTGACAAATTAAGAAGTTCAAAAAGCTGAATAACTTAAAATCTAGTGTAGGCCTAGATTATAAAGCTAAGTTAGAGAGCTTGGGTTTTATTTTTCAGAAATTAAAGAATCATTGGGGAAAAAAAAAGTTTGATACAATTAGTGTTTTAAGTCTGTCTGTTACCACCAGTTTGAGGAAAAGAGATACTTGGGCAAGAAGACTAATTAGTAGATACTGAAATAATCCAGGAGTAAGTTTATCAGGGTCTAATATGGGGACTCTAGTAATAGAAAAAAAAAAGATGGCGCTGGGTGAGTCTGTGCAAAGACCATAAGTAGTATTCAAAGAGCAATTTTATTTGAGGGATGAATAAGAGGAAAAGGTCAACTGATGGAACGGGTTTGAATTTGTAAGTCTGGGAGAGGAAAGGTATTGCTAACAAGGCAAATGAAAGAAATTCATGAGGAAAAATCAGGTTCAGGTGAATATCTGAAGTTGTTGGAGTTTAAATTGAAGTCATGTTGAGGTTCTGTACTGCATGAAAGATTAGGACATTCTCATAGATACTTCATTTTGTGAGATTTCTAGGAGTCACACCACACTCAGAAGGAAGGCAGAAACGTAATAGGAAATGGAGAGGAGGAAGAGAAGGAGGAGGAGAAGGAGGAGGAGGGGAGACAACAGTGATAGGGACTATGGTGGCAGCGAAAGAGCCAGGTCTAACGCACTGGCAAAGTAGTAATCAGAAAACCAGTGAGCAAGTGAGTGTCCTGAGAATAAATGCTTCAGCAGTGAATATTCATTGGCCCCTCACCCATCAGTATCAGACCTTTCTCAAATGCTTCTCATCATTACTTTAACTATGGAGTTCGCAAACCAAGGATGTATCACCTTGAAATCCCAGCGTGCAAAATGCTGACACCGTTCAGGATAAAATACCTGGAGATAATTTTCCAAGATATTTTTAAGTGCACACAATACAAAACTAAGCAGTACCCAGTTTCTTTTCATTGTTTCTAATTGTCAGCGAGATTAAGCTCTCCCAATATGTAAAGTGGCATCTTCTTGTGGCACCAGGTTAGGACTTTAATTTTAGATTCCACTTGCTGTTGAACTCCATTTTCAAATAATTTGCTGGTATATTGTCCCATCACCTTGAAGACATGTACTGTGCATTACCTTACAAACGAAAGCATTCTCTTAAGTAACCTCCATACACCCATCAGAAATAGGAAGTTACTACTGGTGCTCCACTATCATCTAGTCAGGAGGCCCCATTCATGTGTTTCCCATTGTTCCAGTAATGTCCAGATAACCAACCATCCAGGCCACCAGCATAGGCTCGCTAATCTTTAATCTCTAGCAGCTCTTTGCTCTTCTCTTGAACTTCCCAACCTTGACATCTTTGAGGATGCAAGCCAATTATTTTGGAAAATAAAAATTGTTTGTCTGATATTTCTTCATGGCTCAGAAGTCTTCCTGTCATTTCATTTTTATTCAAATATAACAGGATTCACTAGAAACCCAAAGGGACTAAAAATACTGGCTCTGAATCACCATGGCAATCATCGTAAATCACCGTCACTGAAATTAAGTTAATTAAATTTTTATTTTTCTGAGAAATTGATACATTCATATGTGTTCCAGCTACAACTGCCTTTTCTTCAAATTAAAAGCCCTTTCTATTTTGTGACTGAAATTAAATGTTGCTGAGAGAAACTGTATTTAATGTAAATTACCACAGTTTGAGCTTACTTCACGGTTACCTATTAAACTAGATTTTTGTGAGTTGCTCTTCTTAAAGACAGCAGGTTTATTTAAAGCCTGTGAGCCTAGTAATGAAGGATCAAATATAAGCCTCCATTTTATCATTACGAACACTTCAAATGTGCTGAGAAGCACACACTTTTACAAATGTTTTGTAATTACAAATAAGATTCAAAATCAGAGGTAAAATCACTTTTGTGTTTTGGAAATAAGTCAACTGAGTCATGAGGTAAAGTATCCTGAACCCTTTTCACAGAGATTTCTGTCTTTATGCTGCACTATTTTTCAGGTCTCCCAACTGTACCTGAGCAACATGGGGCTGCCATGTTCCTCTCTACCACCTCACATCTTCTCCTGTGCAGAGAGGGCCTTTCATCAGCTTTTCCAGGAGCAGCGACCCCAGTGCTTTATTCTCAGGTAAACCCACCCCTCACCCATCCCTGATGCTCAGTTTATGCATGAGGGGCTTGAGGGTAAAATTATCCTCATTTCTTATGGTTTACATTTATTTGCTTGTTCAGCAGTTTGCAGTCCAGTATATCTTTGCAATAAGTACATTTGATTTGTTACAAAGGAGAAACATCTTTTTTTGTTAGAAATAGTCTCAAGTGAAGCTGAATTAATAACTACAAACTTAACGTGAATCTCAGTTCAGTTTGAGGGTCTATGACATAACTAGAATGTTCTTGCTTTCAAACCTTAGAACACATGAGGAAAGAAGGTCACCCAGTATCAGTGAACCTATCTATCCCACAGTTCCCCAAAATGTGGTGTTGCCCAAAAAACAAAATACAAATTATTACCTTGCAAATGTGGATTTTCCCACTTACTTCTAGGTATATACCTTTGCTTATATTTCATCAAAATTATACACCCAAAGTATTTTTCGATTGAAATGTAATGGTGCCATTACCTCCTAAATATCAAGATGCCAGGAGGCTGATTTATATTGATTGGAGCAAAATTAATCACACCAAAAAAAAAAAAAAGTACCACAAGAAGTAGAGGTGAAATGTGATTTTGTATTGATAGAAGATTAAATAAATATTTAAATATTAAAATCTGCACTGAGAATTATGTTTTACATTAGGAGAAGTCTCTAAAAGAGGGAGCCTCTTTAAATACTCATAGCTTTGCTTATGACCCACAGTGTTGGTTGAAAACTTAACCTTTAAATAAATCATTGTACAATTCAAGTAAAAGTGAAATGAAAGAGTGTAAAGACAGAAACCTGGATAGAACTCAGAAAGACATTTAAATATTTAAATAAGCATTATTTTTATCCTTTTACATTATTGATTTGATCAAAAATTTCATGGCCGGTCAGAGTGATGGGTTGCAAACTTCAGTGTTTCTAAAATAGCATGCAAGTAGTTGTTTTCACACTTGTTCTGAAGTGTCCCCAGAATAAGAGAAGCACTGGAGGGGGTCCTCCTTCCATTCTTGAATTAAGCAACTCTATTTTTACTGCTTTATCTGTTGGGTTTTCTGGCCTCACTTTGACAAAAAGGGAAACGCTTATTAAAAATTATGACATCGTGGGGAGCGTATAGTAATGTTGACAATAATAACAACTAATATTTATTGAGAACTTACTAAGTGCCAGACCCTTCACTTGATACCTTCCATGTATTATCTTATTTATTGCCTTAGCAACCTTATGAGATAGGTATTATTATTATTATTGTTATGATGATCAGCATTTTATGTATCAGATGACTGAGTATAAAAAGGGTTATCTAATTAGTCCAAGCTCTCATAATTAGTAAATAGTGAATTTGGGATGTGAGCCCAACAGTGTAAATTAGTAAATGGTGACTAGTCAGTAGATGATCCAGTAGCTGGTGTACCTGGGATGTGAGCCTGCATCTGGCTTTTCAGCCTGAATGAAGTGTAACCTTTTCCACAGGTAAACACCAGCGCATGGCAGCCTCCTGCTGCTGTCCTGAGGAGGATTTTAGCCGCCCTCCCCAGTCTCCCCTAAAATTATGGCTACAGCTCCCTGGATTTACTTTAATTCTTATTGAATCTACTTAATTTTATGAATGGTATTGGTCCTTAGTGAAGCTCTGAGGGGCCACTGGATTCATAGATTTTGAAAATCTGCCCATTATAGACTTCACAGTGTCTAGCAAGTGTCTTCAGTAAAGATACCTTTAACCCAAAGATGTCTACAGTGTATTTGCTCATAGACTTTTTTTTTCGTTAGGAATTGTTAATATTCTGCAGCACTAGTATCTCTTTGGGACATTTTTTAAGGCCAGTAATGCCATGTATCAACCACTTATTCTGGAAAAAAAATGTATCCATTGTTTCAAGATGGTGTCACCTAGTCCTGGCATCCAGAATTGAAGAAGAAATCTGTGATCACAAGGACTTCTTATTTTAGTCATTCTCTGTCTTCTTTCAAGATTGATATTTTTATGTAACTTCTCTACCTCCTCAATTGTCTTGACTACAATAAAGATTTTCTACCTTTATACTAATACATTAAAAGTTATTTTTATTATATTTTTATTAGTTTCAGGTGTACAAAACAATGTAATAGTTAGACATTTACACCCTCACAAAGTGATAACCCCCCTCTCCCAATCTACTATCCCTTTGACATCATTATAGCTGTTACAATTCCGTTGACTCTATTCCGTATGCTGTACTTTACATTCCATTACTATATACATACATATATACACACACACATATATATACACATATATTATACATATATACATATATATGCATATATATATATATATATATTTGGCATTTAGAAATCAATTAAATACATTGTTTAAAGTTCATTTATTCAGTTTTTATTCTGTCCCATAGCTAGCATTTTCAAAGGATAATTTTGAAGATTTGGAGATCAAAACTTAAATATTCCTGAAATAGATGTCCTATAAGAGTGCTAGGCCAGAAAAATTTTATTTCCAAATTTCAATTTTATTTTTCATTTTGTTGGTAATTATAGACCCCGGTAGCATACTAGGCTTTATCTGAAGGAAAAGTTCTTATTAATTTTAGATCTTTGTCCTGGGCTATAACTGAGAGTCTGGCGTCCACCGTAATGTGTCTTAACTTTGCTTTCTTAAAGGCCTTGCTAGATAATTTAAATTAATTGTTTGAACATGTGTGGCAAATATTCCTTATACTAACTATATGCTGAGCATATCTAAATTAATATTATGTGCTGAACATACAAGTGACTTGTGAAATAAGCACTATATGGCCTGCTTCTGTTGGGTACAGATTTAGGAGACAAAGCTGTTAAAAAAGCTTAAGAATTCTTATGAGCCCATGATTGGCACCACCCAAAATCCTTGGTCAATATCTAGTTAAATCATAAACTTGGATTTTCAGATGAAAAAATGTTTCTTAAACAAGCTGAACTAGAGGAACTAAGCCTATCATAACCCATTTTTCTTTTACTTCCTTGTATTTTACTTAAAGTATAAATAAAATGTGGCTATTTTGAGATTTTGTGAGACAGTTAAAATGTGCGTGATTTTAGCTATCACTTTCTTTACCCCTAATCTGGTAACTGAGTGAGCACAATTGTGGGGTGAAGAGAGAGGGACTCACATAACCACCAGGTCAGCCCTACACCCTCACATGCTTCTGTGTCTCCTGATCTGCAAAGACTGTGTCTGCCCCATTCACCTCTTTGGACTCGCCATCCATTTCAGTAGGAGAAGCTCAAGAAATATCTGTTGGGTGTTAATGCTAGATAAATGCTACCTTCTGTGCTACCCCTTCTCCAAGAATCAGTTCAGCGTCTACCTCATCCAGAAGTTTTCCCTGGTTCCCTCCTGGTTTCCTTCTTCATCTCTGGGTGCATTGCTCATTGTGCACTGCTGCATTCTAAGTATGCATTATTTATGTACTTAGTGTTTACTTGAGAGTATCCCTAGTAAATGAAGCAGGGAGCAGTATTTTTCACCTCTTTACCCCTAAAACCTAACGTAGGCCTTCAGTGACTTTCATTTGAAAGAATGAGCAATATTTTTTAAAAAGAAAATGATATTTTCAAGATTTATTCTTGAGTGAATGCAAACTAAAGCTCTATTAAAAAAAAGATTCATGAGACATCTAATTATTTTGCTGGGTAATAGAATTTTTGTAACAGCAAGTATAATTGCAGAAATTAAATTTCCATCATGAAAGATATAGATTGTTTCTGCTGTGAAATTAGGTTAAAAGAGAAGGTCTTTGAAACCAGAAAAGGAGCTGCTTGTCTCGTGCAGGTCATTGTCACCTGCTTTGCTGAGGGTGCTGGGGCGGGGGAGCGGAGTTGTAAAAGTGGTTAAAATGTTTATGCACAAATGAGGGGGTAGAAGCATTCATTTACAAGTTGAGATTTGAATACAATAATTAAATTTCAGCTTTTCTGGCAAACACTCTTCTGTTAAATTTATTAGAACCCATGTTCAAGGGAGAAACCTGAGAAAGCACTGATAAATAGCTTTATACTCATATATTTAAAAAAATAATGTTTGGCTAATAGATAAAAAACTGTTTTTATGAGTGTTCTATTTGGATGCAGTAAAAAATTTATTTTATATCAGACTACTTTGGTATAGTAATTATTGTATTGGAATTTTATGGTAACCCTTATATCGTCTGGTTTCAGGAATATAATAACAGTTAATGTTTATAGAAATTAGGTAAGTTATGAAGTATGCTTTGGAAATAGCTAAAGTATTGTCATTAAAAAAAGTATTGTGATTAAACTATCAGTTAGTGGTTGTTCCTAGATTGATGGAAACCTGGAAACATGGATTGTCAGAATTGACAGCAATCTCAACAGGAAATGGGTCGTTTTAGGATCTGTGAAGTGCCAGCATTACTCACGTCATCACATCTGACAATCTTACCCAGTTAGTTTCAGTAGCTGTGTACTTTATATTCATTCAAAAGAGAAGGGAAAGTCAGAAAGATCTAGTGAGTGACTTTTCCAAGGGAGATGTAGTGTCTCTCCTGAAAGGTCCAGAAAGATTTAACAAGTCCAGACCATGTTGCTGTGTAACGCGTGTGCCTCCAATGCAGAGGCCATGGCCTTGGGTCCACCTCACTTAAGTGTATTTACAAAGCTGAGGACCAGTTCATAGTGTCTTTCTTTTCAGCCTAACACCTTTCTGCTTTAATTCTCCTACGTTACATGGCTCTGCATTGTAAGATAGTGGGTGGCAGAAGTTCCATCATATTCATTTAGAGTCCAAGCATCTGAAACACCCTAGGGTACAACAGTATACATTTGCTAAATATTTTGAATAATGAATCAAATTGAAAAGTTAAGCGATATACCACATATCAGTGAAATCACATGGTTCTTGACTCTTTCTTTCTGACTTATTTTGCTTAGCTTTATATTCCATCCGTGTTGTTGTGAATGGCACTATTTCATCTTTTCTTATGGCAGAATGGTATTCCATTGTGTGTATATACCTGAAAACAAAAACATGACAAACAAATAAAGAAACAAAAACTCATAGACACAGACAATAGTTTAGTGGTTACCACAGAGTAAGGGGGAAAGCGAGTGGTAGATAAGGGTAAAAGGGATTAAATATATGGTGATGGAAAAAGAACTGACTCTGAGTGGTGAACACACAATGTGATGTATAGATGATGTATTACAGTTTTGTACACCTAAATCTGTGTAACTTTGCTAACCATTGTCACCCCAATAACTTTAATTAAAAAAAAAAAGTTCAACGATACCACAGACTCATTGAAAGTGATGTTATTCCCTCACCTCCTTTGTGTCTGAAAATTATCTATGGTTATTTAATGTTTTACTACATTCACAAAAACAGTAAACTTTGTACTTTCTGTCTGTGCTTTATTTTAGTGGGGAAAGAGGATCTGGAAAGTCTGAAGCCAGCAAACAAATAATGAGACACCTAACCTGTAGATCTGGCACCAGCAAACCTATATTTGATTCCAAATTTAAACATGTAAGTTTCTTATTTAGCTTGGAAAATATGTTGAGATAAGAAAATTGTCATTTAGAAATAAAGGATGACATCATAATGGACCATAAGTTTGACCATTATTTGGTCAAAATCTGTGGAAATAAAGGAAAAAGATTTTTTTTGAGGCTTGGTATAATTAATATTGTTCAAGTAAACTTTTATTTTATTGTATACATTTAAAAATATTTGAACATATTCTGATTTCATGTTTGCTTGGAATAGTTGAATTGAAAATATGTAATATACCGAGGTGCCAAAAAAATGTATACACATGACTTGTATTCATCTTTTGTTATCGGTATATATGGAGTGTTACAATTTTAATGCAGTTTTTCCTTTCTTAAAATGTGTATACATGTTTTGGCACCCTCTGTAGTTAGAGATTGTTGTTATTCACATGAAAAGTGTCACTTTGATGTGTAGGTACATTCTGGGGGGTTGGCCCGGTAAGCAACTTTTGTGGGGGGTTACTGAAAGCTGAAAATAAAGTTTTAAATGTATGTAAAAGAATTGACAACAGTAAAACTTAAGGACATTGATGAGCAGTAAATAAATCTTCAATCCCAAATGTGACTTTAAATTATATTCAGTAATGTTTTTATTTGAAGATTCCTTATCCTGTTACTTCATCTACCTAAAATACTACCAGTATTCAAGGAGGGGGGGAAAAAGACCTCTTAGCAGCTAAGATAAAGGTCACAAATCTCACACAATAAAACTTAGAAATTTTATGAATTTTACTCAAGGAGATACCCACAGATGCTTGTCCACAGATTGATTTTACTGTTTTTACATGGTCCTAGCAAGTTTTGTTAACAGGTTTTTCCCCAGACCACAGCGTATTGGAAGGGTTGCTAGATAATTCATGCAATTGAACACACATTCAGGAAGGAACCCCTAGTAGTAGAGAACAGACAGAAAGATGATCAATAACCAAAGAAAGTGATCGGAACCCAGAAACGTGCTGTTCTGGAGCTTTACCTACAGAGCTAACTCTCCACACATCAGCATTTCTATAGGAAAATCACCCCAGAATAATGGAAGTTCATGATGATTGTTCTAAGCTTGCAACAAAAGACTTTTATATGTGCCCTGTTATTTTAGGGGACTCGGGGTTCCTACACTGTGCCCTTGCTTTTGCCCGCTGGCCCTATGATTTAGTCCCATTCTCATACTATCACTTTCCATCCTAATCACATACCCCCTGTTTGTAAGATGCTGACCCACCTGTCCCACAGCCTCCCTGCATGTCCAGAGACATGTCCAGAATGTATTGCCTGACTTCCCGTCTTCCCAGCTCTCTCCCCCCAGGTTACCCATTTACTGTACAATAAATGGTACAGTCATTTTTTTTTCATTTTCACATCCAGAAACCTGGAGTTCACGTTGACTCCACCCTCTTTTCTCTGCTCCCTGCACAATCATAATATCCTGTCAATCCTAGCTCTTCAACCAAATCAGATTTCGTTAGGCCCAAGATCATCACTGCCAGTAAGACGATCATCTTTTTTCATCAGATTTCTTGAAGTCACCTAATGTGTTTCATTGCATCACCCTTTTTTTTTCTTCTGAGGCAAGTACACATAGGCAGTCTGAGTTGACAGGGCAGCTCTGCTCCCCAGTGTCAGTCAGCACCCAGACTCTTTCTATCTCATTGCTCTGTCATTCTCCTGGGCACTGATCCCTGCCTGCATGTGAGGCATCTGCATTCCAGCTCAGAGAAAGGGAGCGAGAATCAGGAGTGCAGGGAGAGGGCTAATTTTGTTAGTAGGAGGTGCAGTACGTCTGCTCATAGTGACAGCTTGGGCTTAATTAATTAGCTGTGCAGTTAGAACTGTAACTAGGCAGCCACGTGCTTAGCTGACGCTATTAGGTGGAAGGAGAGGAGAGTTGATTTTCTACTAGCAGCCTCTGTCATAACTCCCTTGCTCCAGATTCTTGCATGGTTCTGTTCCCTGGAGATCAGGTCCAGTAAAATCAGCATGGCCCAACATTCTTTGGGATGGTGTCCTCTAATTCATGGGCCTTACAGAATAACATTCCTCTTATTCTTGCTGAAGCTTCCTTTGAACACATATCCCTTGCAAACTGAGCCATGATATGTCATAACTTATTCCATTATTCAACAGATATCTTAAGTGGCTTCAATGTGTGTGTCCCTTGAATTCAGAGACACTGTCTTAAAAACTGTCATATGATAGGAGCTCAATTTCTGTGTGGTGAACAAATGAATACGTAAATACAATGTCTATAAGTATTTTGGGACTCCTAGAAAACACTTGTGCCAAGTTACCTATATTAACTTACTCTAATGTATCAAATAAATTTAATGTGGATAAACCATTTGTATGTAACCAGGAATCTGTAAATGTGTGTGTGTGTGTGTGTGTGTGTGTGTGTGTGTGTGTGTGATTTATGGGACAATGTTGTCATTTTTTTGTTCTGTTTTGTTTTCAGTCTTGTCTGCCTTTAGTGATACAGTGGAAAGTTTCTTCTTTCTTTTAAAAAAGTAATCATTATTTTACTTTTTAGGTCAAGATTAGGGAATACATATTCAAAATTTTTAATTGTCATCTCTCTTCAGGCCAAAAAACATTAACTTTATTCATATATATATATATATATATATATATATATATATATATATATATATATATATGAAAAATTATTTTCAGTTCCTCACACACAAAAGAAGAATATAAGTTTAGTTACATGTAAGTCAACATGCAAATAAATGAGGTCCCTGTATGCTATATAATTTCCTTGACCAAAAAAATACATTGTGTAAGTCATAGGCCATGTTGTACCTATATACTCGCTCTTGGAATGTATTTCAAAGTGAAGTATTACAAATACAATGGTGCAGTCTCAACTTACACAGCTTGCTTCTCTAGAATCTCCCCTGTACAGGCCTTTCATCTTTGCAGAAAGACACCTACATTTCAGTCAGCAATTTCATATTTAAAGTGTCTGATTACATTGGAATGGAGACAGTTGCCGTTATCTTATTACCTCACACAATACCATCTAAAGATTCAAATGTTAAAAATCTAGAAACATATCACCCAATGACTATTGTGTTATTACTGTTTTCTTTTGTGTCACCTGCCCTTTTTACCTTGTGGCTGCAAGTCAGAGTTATTTCTGCTCTGGTGGTGTTTACATGGAATATTCTGGAAATTTTAGTATTGGATTTCTAATTTAGAAATGAGAGGAATTTACCTTTAATTGTTAGATTAATGTTATTTCCTTATACTTTCTTTTTTTGAATAAATCCTTTAAAAGTTAAATACCCTTTTATGGATTCCCAAGCTTATGCCTGATTTTAGAGATTTTTCTCTTTATGAGGAATATATAATAAATTCTGTAGTATATCCATGGTATCATATATGGTCATTAATGACTTTAATTCATAACCATTTATTCAGCTTGAACTATGTATTGAGCACCTGCATAATTCTACAGCAAAGCTCAAAATAATTTAACATTTTAGGTTGACTTGGAAAGAACAGCATTAAATATCTTTTTTGTTCAGATATTGTCATATACTGACTAGTTACAGTTAAGGATTAGAGAATTTATAAAACAACACAGTTATAAAATAGACTCAGGTTAACTAATAAAATAACAGAATCTGTTGCCTTAATTGTAATGACAAAGAACAGTAGTCTCCGCTGTAAATCAGGGATTAAAACAATCATTTATTAAATGATCCTTTGTGAAAGAGCAGACTTTGTAATTTCTAAATGCATTCCAGATTACTTAAATTGGCTTTGCATTTTAGCTTAAGTGAATGTATTCTAAGTTGCATTTCATTGGGTAAGATAGATCTAACTCTTCCAAAATTAGCATCTGAGAATCAATATTATATCAATGCAAATTTCAGGTAAAACCAATTCATTTTTTATGTTTTATTCATTTCTCATGGCAAATTAAGGATGTCATAAATAAGTGATTTCTAGTCTCATGAAATAATATTGCACAGATTTGAGTATGGCTTAAACCTCATGTCAACTCTCCTTTTGCTTTTGGTTTCCCTTTAAATTACCATCTACTTGAATATCATTCAGTGTTCAAGACATTTCTTGAAAATTACCCAGCCACAGTTTTTGTACAGCGGCCAGTGTGTGGGAATTACACACAAGCATTAGATAAATTTATGAATCAATGGTAAATTTTTATAACATTTCACTGTAACCCTTCATGGGTTGAGTGAAATTATGTACATTTAAAAGATGAGCTGCATGAAAGAAAAATCTGATTAAAGAGATGAGTGGAAAAGAGCGTCCTTGCTATATATGGAGCTATCTAGTAGATGGCTTGAAGTTCAGTGCTAGATGAGATGAAAGGAACCTTCATTAGGTGGCCCTGAAAGACAAGAAGCAGGTTGCCTAAATTAGAGGGCTGGATCAGCCAGATTTGAGGGTGAGACATCCCTCTAAGGAACCACCCTGGCAGACACGGTACATGATGCTGCCACATGGGGCCATGTGAGTGACAAACACACACATGGTATCTTCCTGTGGGAAATACTGGTTGAGTCTCAACCAAACAGTTTTGCCCTGGATCTTGGTATCGTGTGAGAAAAAAACAGCCATTGGAGGTTATTCTAATCAGCAGTTACCAAAGAATAAATAGTGAAAGAATGGTAGGGGCATAAAACGAAGGACACCTTAGGCCGATCCCCCCAGCAGAGAGTCTTGCAGAGGCTGTGGAGTAGCGAGCATTTTCCTTGTGGTTTACATCGATGGCATCATTAAAGATTTATACATGAAAGGTTGTAATCTGGAGCGTGGGGAGCAAAAGAATAAAGTGAAGGCATTTGGGAGGAAGTTGGCTGTGTGTAACTTTCCTGCTGTCGTGATAAACAGTACTCTCTAAGGACAGGTTGCAGAGAGGAAGAGAAAGAGATTTCGTTGCTACCTGAAGGTGAGGGAGAGCCCAGCATGGAGCTCGAAAGACGATTTTGATAATTTTATGGGGGTGATACATGTATATTTAAGGGACACACGGCTGTGGTATTTCTGAATCTTAGTCTTATACTTCAATTGCCCCGTCTGTAAAGACTGCATAGGTCTGCATCTTGCCTCTGCAGTGGCTTCAGTGCGTGCTTTCCCCAGTGAGCAGGTGGGTTAGACTCCTGTCACCATAGATATTGCTTTTGTTCCCCTGTGCAGTTTCAGAGCAGATAAGATCAGATAAGAAAGCTGTTGTTTCTAATCCCTGTATTTGAATTAAAAAATGTGAAAGCAGGCATCTTCCATGGCAATAGGTTTATTAGAACATAAAAGTCATGTTTTGGTGGGAAAAAAATTGCCAGAGACTACTCACTAATTCTTGCCCAATCGATTTTCAACTTTAAGAAACATTCATATCCATTCTAATTACTTAAATATTTGTCGAGCTACTGATTTCACAGAGCAGAGTAACGGGGTCAACTTGATTAAGCCGTTATTTTTTACTGAGGAAGACAGGTTTTTATGTTTAGAAAATACAATAGTTTGAATACTATCATAATAAGAATGCATACCTTTTAATGGCATAACTATTAAACTTTTATGGAAAAAATGAACTGTAAATAGAAAAAATATCATGCCAATAAATTTGAATCACTAAGGACTGAGGAAATATATACTTACTTCCCTTTGCCTACATTTTTTTATTTAAAGTTTTATTATACTACAACATTCTCATTATTTTGTTTCAAAGTCAAGTTAAATGGTGGAATTAATATCAGTTTTGCATTTTCTTAGTATTTCTTTTAACATATTTGTTTAGTGCCACCTATTGGTCAAATGGCTAATTGAAGATTAAAACCCACTGGTTATTTCAGAGTTTAGTATTTTACCAGTACTTTTGATTTATGGACCAGAAGTGTATAATGAGAGAATGTCATGTTAGTATTTATATTTTGTTGAACGGTTGTAGTTTTATATTAATTTTATCCCTTATATGTCTTTATTGTTATTCTAGCACTAAATAGCCCAATGATGCAGTGGTTAAACACACAAATTCAGCAGAGATAGCTTGGGTTCAAATCCCAGCTCCACTGTTTACAAGCTCTGAACCTTGGGAGACTCACTTAATCTCTCTATTTCTTTTTCTGTGAAATGGAGACTTAATTGTGAGGATTAAAAGAAATATATGTATACACATATATACACACATACATATATACACATGCATGTTTATATATAGCTTTACACACATACATATACATATACTAGGGGTACCAAAAAATGTACATAAGTGGACACTTTGGTCAACGTTGCTCAAGCAGTAATTCGCCATAATCAGAAGTGTCTGGATGCTGATGGTAACCACTCTGAGCACCTTTTGTAATTGCAGAAGCCAAATGTGACTTGTATTCATCTTTTGTTATCAGTATATGTTATTATAATTTTAATGCAGTTTTCCTTTCTTAAAATATGTATACATTTTTTTGGCACCCACTGTATATTTATGTATGTAAAAACCTTAGAATAGTGTCTGCACATAGTAAGTACAATATAAATGTTTCCTATTATTAACTTAAATAAAATTAATCTTTGTTATATGTTAAATGCTTAGTGTGTTCCAGGCACCAAGCTGAAGGCTTTATATGCCTGACTTTGATAACCACTGATAACCTGTGTTATAATAAAGTAAATGGGGTTCAAGGAATTCATGAAATTGCTCAGTGCCATATACTTCGTCATTAGCAGAACTGAGATGTGAGGCAGCTACTTCTCACTCCAAAGTACATACACTGAATCATTACCTATACTTCCTATTTGAGCACATGCCATTAATTACCTTTTATGATCTTTTTCTATAATAATAAAGAAATTAGCTTATTGTCAGATATAGCACCTAAACAACTAGAAGCCAAAATATTTTTAAAAAATTCATTCTAACCCTTTTAATTAATTTTAAACATTTTAAAAAATGTAATATTATGATAAAATTGTGATATAACCACACTATTAATTGTACTCGATGTTGATTTAACATTAAATTATTGGAGAAGAAAAAAAACTAGGATCTTCATAAATACTATTTAAAAATATTTTTCAGAAACCATTTCTCCCATTACTACTCTCAATTCATTATGATCTTTAAAATTAGGTTATTATAAAGAGATAAATTATAGAGTTTCTGTAATGATTCAGTATATGTTTCTCTTCAAAAGTTTAAACTTCAAAAATAGATATTTTAGGGGCTGGCCGAGTGGCGCGATGGTTAAGAACTCGCTTGGGATGCCAGAGGGCCCCGGTTCGGATCCCACATGTGAGGGCCAGTGACACTGCCCTC